GGGGGGTACAAAGCTCTGATGCTCCTGGTTTGTGTTCTCGCAGGGATTCAGTGAGTGTGGAGAACATTGTGGACCTAATGCACCAGGTGGCAATGGGGATGAAGTATCTGGAAGAGAAAAACTTTGTGCACAGAGATCTGGCAGCTCGTAACGTCCTGCTCGTCAACGCACGGTTCGCCAAAATCAGTGACTTTGGGCTGTCCAAGGCGCTGGGAGCTGACGACAACTACTACAAAGTATGTAGCCACAACTTCAAATGCTGTTACACTTCACCTGAGTTTTTTTTTAATGGCCTGGTAGCTTTTATAATCATTTTTTCCTCTTTGTATTTATTTTTATGTATATAAAATAATCTTTTATTTTATTTTATTTTAACAGAGCAACTACTTTAATGATATTTTAGCTATCATAAAAAATATTCAGCTCATTTAGATGAAAGGGGTTATGACTTTTGTTAACATACTTATCTGCATTTACATTTTTTTCCTTATAAAGAGTATATACCTTGTTCTCTTTTATGTTTGCCTCTGCACATTTGCTACATTTAGCTTTTAATTAGCCTTTAGCTACTTTTAGCTTTTAGCCACCAGTCTGCTACTTTCAGCTTTTAGCCAGTGTTTTGCTACTTTTCACTGTTCTGTTACTTGTAGATTTTAGCTATTCTTTGCCTATTTTAACTAATATTTGCTACGTTTAGCTTTTAGCTACCAATCTGCTACTTTCAGCTTTAAGCTAGTGTTTTGCTATTTTTTGCTATTATTTACTTGTAGTTTTCAGCTATCTTGTAACTAGTTTTGCCACTTTCAGGTTTATCCAACCTTTTACTTCTTTTATAGTATTTTGCTAGTTTTTGCTATTGTGTAATAGTTTTTATCTATACTTTGCAAATTTTAACTAGTATTTGCTTGTTTTAGGTTTTAGCTACTTTTAGCCAGTGTTTTGCTACTTGTTGCTTTTTGTCATGGATTTATATTTTAGCTAATCTTCTGCTTGTTTTATCTTTTAGCTAAAGTTTTACTTCTTTTAGTTAGTCCTTGGACTTTGTTTCACACTAAAAATGTAGTTTTCAAAAATCCTCCATAATGTGTTGTTAAATTAATTTGTGAAATTTGATGCGCAGCTTATTTTCATCCATTGTGTGTTTCCAGGCTCGKACTGCAGGCAAATGGCCGCTGAAGTGGTACGCTCCAGAATGTATACTCTACCACAAATTCTCCAGCAAAAGCGACGTGTGGAGTTACGGCATCACCATGTGGGAGGCCTTTTCCTATGGAGGGAAACCCTACAAGGTAAAACAGATTTCTGCAGAGCAGAAGGACAGTAAAACCTGATACTTTAATCAGCATTAGAGGAACTCTGGTGTTTTTAACTTTTTTTAACCAGAAAATGAAAGGTCCCGATGTGACACGCTTCATCGAAAGCGGCGGTCGTTTAGAGTGTCCAGCAGCATGTCCAGAGAGAATGTACACACTGATGAAAGAGTGCTGGACTCATTCGTAAGAGATKATTTATTTCACATATAGTATTCAGATTATGTAGGCGTGTACATTTTTTTACTTCATCATATCCCATCCTCTTTTCCTTTAGGCAAGACGAGCGCCCCGACTTCAAGAAGGTGGCGGAATCCATGAAGTCCTATCATTACTCCATATCCGGAAAGGCCAAGCCTGAAGGAGCCGCTGACGTGCCTACCAAGCAGACCGAAAAAAAGAAATAAAAGGCACATTCTGTCCCATTGCTGCACAAAGCCTCCTTTCAAACCAATCAATAAACTCCCAAAAACAAAGAGTGTTTTCTGAGTCGTGCACACTGACCAGCTTTGACTACAGTTCAGATACATGCAGGCCTCCGTGGTAATAAATGTGCATGTGTCAGCTGAAGGATTTGTAAGGAGGTTCTCTGTTTGTCTGTCATGGTTTGAATGTTAAACGTCTTCGCCGCCATGAATGAATGAATGAATTTCTTCTGTCGTGAGCCTGGCTTCTTGGTGTTTTTTTTTTTCTTGATAGAGTTTATTTCTCTGTGTTTCCTTTGAGATTCATTGTTAGGGTTTTGTTTCGTGTGATGTTTATTTTAATTTGTTCCATTGTTTTCCTGTGTTTCCGGTCATTGTGCTTTACGCCCTGTCTGGTTCTCCTTTGATATTTTCATATTGTATTATATTTTAATGATAATTTAAATCTTGTTTTCATTTGAACACCTGTTGGTCCGTACTTCCGGGATGGAAACAACTTCTGTATTCTGGTATTTAGGATCAGGGGCGGAGTCASACAGGTGGCACCCCTGGCACCTGATTGGCCACCCCCAGGTGCCACCTCCAAATAAATGACACATGGATGGGGATCTTGGTTTTTGCATTTCCATTTAAATATTGTTCCCTGATACTACTGTACTATATACATTTTCAGCTGTGTATGTTTTAAAATGGCTGAATTATAGCCCTTTGTAAAATAAGCATTACTGGTTAGCTTCATTTAAGATTAGCATTGGTGATTATTCTTAGCTAATACACAACAAATTTAATCTCAATAAGTCTTAAAATTCCTGAGTTGTAACCTTTTAAAGTTAGCTGTGGTTGCCATCTTGAATGTTTTGATAAGCTTTTAAAACACAGTAAAGATTCTTATGGAATTGAAGCTATTTGGAATTAGCTGTGAAAACTATCTTGATTTTTTTTTAATCCAGAGTGTTTTTCTTATTTGTATTTTGCAAAAAAAAAAAAAAAAAAAAA